GGTCACTCTCGGGCTACCCATTTCTCTTCTGGGGCCCTACCTCCCTAGCCCTTTCTTCTCCTGAGCCCTTGTTTATCAATAGTGGCCAGTTAGGATGGTCAAGCCATCCTAATTCCATCCGTGGATCCACTCACGAGTTCCTGAATGTCTGTTTCTCCTACCATTATACAGAAGAAACACTTATTTCCCACCCATGCACCTGTTCAAAAATGGTCTGAGCCTACCAGATGGTCTCTGTAAGTTCTCTTTTGAAAATGACCTCAAATGGCTGTGACGAGCCATCACAGTCTGATGCAGCTGACCAATGACGATGATGCAGCATGAGCAAAATATGCTTGTGTTATACTAAGCTACTGCAAGGTTTTAGTTGCAGTATAACTTAGACTGGCACGCACAGCAGTCAAAGAGAAGAATTAGGACATTATGTTCACTTTCTACGGCTACGTAGCAAACTGCCACAAAACCCATTTATTAGCTTATCTGCTGGGGTTGAACGTCTGCCTTGGCTTGGATGAAGTCTCTGCTCAGGGTCTCACAGGTAGCTAGCGAAGTGCAAGTGGCTATTGGCAGAATTCAGTTATTTATTATTGTACAACTGAGGTCCCCACTTTCTTGCTGGCTGTCAGCCAAGGCCACTCTCAGCAACCAGACGCCACCCAGCATTTCCTGCCCCACAGCCCTCTCCACGACATGACAGTTTGTATCCTCGAGGCTGATAGAAGACATCAGGTGTGGCTTCACATCTCTCTGGGCCCTAGACCTTCTTTTAAAGAGCTCACTGGTTGTGTCAGACACACCCAGAATGGCCTTCCTTTTGATAAACTTCGAGTCAATCTGTCGGGGATCTAAATTACATCTGCAAAATTCCTTCGCCTTTGTCTTCCGTGTAAGGTAACCTATCATGGGAATGACTCCCCATCATATTCATCTATCCCGCCCTCATTCGAGGGGAGGGGCTTAGACAAGGGCATGAATGGGTGGCGGTCATCTTAGAATTCTGCCTACCACAGGCCTTTATGAAAACGTCCTGATGAACATTAGTGCTAAAAAATTTAGGCTCCCTCCAAAGCCTCAATTAACATCTTCCTTGCTCCCAAACAAGAAAACCTTTGCCCAAATATTCTAAAGTATTGCTACTCAAAGCACAGCCCGTGGACCACCAGCGTGGACATCGCTTGTGAGAAATGCAAATTCTCAGGCCCCTCCTCAGACCTAGGGAGTCAGAATCATCTGCATATTAACAAGACTCTTAGGAGATTTGAGAAGCACTGATCACTAAAACTAGCTTCTTCTTCAGTAAAGTAGGCTGGTACCTGCATGGAGTGAGAGCACACACAATACTAAATCCATGTGCCCTGATCACCCCAACCCTTTCAGAGTGGCTTCTGAAATTTTGCTGTCAGAATCTCATAGTCTGATGACGATGGTGATGATATCAAAGATGATGATGACAATGACAAGGATACTGAAGATGGTGATAATAGCTAACACTTACTGAACATCCACCATGTACCAGGCAATAAGCAAAGGTTTGAAATGTATTATTTCTTTTAATTTTCCCAACATTTTATGAACTACATACTATTATTTTTGTTTTTGAAACTTGCAGAAGTTAAATAACTCCTCTATGGAAACACAGATAAGAATGGTGGGGCCAGGATTTGATCCTTGTCCCTTTAACTTAGGGTTATAGGATCATATTGTCACAAGCTGTCAAAGCTCACAAAATGAGAATCACAGGCCAACTCAACTTGTGAATGTGCATCATTCAACCAAAGTGTTGGTGTGATTTTTCACTGAATGTCTTTTCCCAGGGACAAGCTCATCCCAGTTGGCCACAGGCCTCTCACTTTCAGCCTCACCGATTTGACTTACTGCAGTGGTTCTCAACCTTTTTGGCTTTAGGGACCGGTGCTCCTATGAGAATCGAATGCCTGAGGAACGGAGGTGGAGCTGAGGTGGCGATGCTAGTGCTGGGAGCGGCTGCAAATACAGATGAAGCTTTGCTCGCTCACCTGCCGCTCACCTCCCACTGTGCGACCTGGTTCCTAACAGGCCATGGACTGGTACCGGTCCATGGCCCAGCAGTTCCCAACCCTTGACTTACTGAATGCACTTAGGTTTGCAATCTCCAATTAATTCCAAGGATTCTTAAATTTCCTCTTGACATTTAATGAAAAATTTAGATGACATAAATACTTGCCAGAGAGTCTTAAAAATAGCAAAGAAACTTGCTCTCTAATCCATCCCATTTCATCTGATGAATGAAACTAACATCCGGAACATGAAGTTATGTTCCTAAGTCACGCACCAAGATAATATCCAGGTTTTAAACTGGGCTCTTTGCCCCCAAATCAAGTGCCATCATCATTCACTTCCTCTTGTTTAATAAATTATTTATGATACATGAAACAGAGGTTTCAACTAAATTAAAGCATGCTTCAGAAACATTTGGATTGAGTTTAATGCAGATACTCAGACTTCTTTCCTGATTGTGCTAGTTGATGAGTCAAATACCCATTTATCTGATGAGAATCATCGAAACACAGGTTTTGAAAGGAGAAGTAAGTCTCTGAGTAGTTTATGAAGGGTAGGACAGTGAGGAGGGCAAGAGGTGGAACAGGCTAGTGGATTTCAGCCTTGGTTATCCATCGAAATATCCTGGGAAGCTTTAACAACAGCCGATGCCTGGGCTCCAACCCCAAACTTTCTGATGTAATTGGTCCCAGGTACTGAGATTTTTAAAAGCTCCCCCACCCCCATGATTCTAATGCTCAGCCAGGGCTGAGAACCCCTGGAGCAGGGACTCTGAGAGGCTAGAGAATCAACATCGACACGTCACAACTTTTCTTGCAGCCCCACTGGCTTCAACCCATCAGCTGGCCACAGAAACTCCCATGTTGCTTTCATGTTTTTGCTACCTCTTCCCTCCTCCTGTAAGCAACACTCCTTCTTGTGCAGAGAACAAAATCGATGGGAGACTGAGGTCAATTCCGCA